CATTGATGCATCTCGTATCCTGCATTCACGACTTCTTAACAACATCCTGCGAGTTCCTATGGTTTTCTTTGACACTTCACCTATTGGAAGAGTGATCAACCGCTTTGCAAAGGTAGGGTCTTGTAGTTCACTTTTTAAGGATTCTTTTCATAGTTTTCAATATTTATTTTTATCTTCTTGTGGCTTGTATGATTACAAATACAAAGTATAACTAGTTTTTAATGTCATTTCTAAAATAACAGTGCTAAAAATTGAAAAAACTAAACATTACATTTTTTAAAAAGGCTTTATTTGTGTTTGCTGCAAGTTGCATATCCACTTGTTTTAGTTAATTTTTCCCACTTTATCTCACATTTTTAATACAATCCTAAATATTCTTAAAATTGTTCTCTCCTTAAGTCGTTCTTTAAAGAGGCTTTCTTCCCAAGTGCCTCCTCAAGTATGCAGTTCAGTTCAATTTTATCTGGTGCTGACACACAATAACAGTCACTAAAGGTACATTGTATTGTAAAGGTAAAGCTCTTACAACAATCAAGAAAAATCCCTCAAACAATTAGATGACTCCCTATGAGTCAATATGAATTTAATATGAATATATTCAATAAATCAATATGCTGTTCAATTCATTTCAGTTTTATCTGCACAGTCCCAAATCAACCTGTTTGCGTTAATGTTGTAATATGTGTGTAGATCTGTTGTCTCTGTTAGCTGCGGTTACTAAATTCAGCCACTTGTTGAAAAAGGGAAGAAGGAGACTATTTCTCTTGTATCCTCACATCTTGCTTATACCAACAAAAGGGTCTTAATGGACAAATAATTAATCATTAAATTATTACGTCGTTAGAATGGCTGTAAGTGTCACGGCTAGCGGTATGGCATTATTTTTATGCCACTTTTCTGAGCGCACGTAAAAAAAATGAGCGCACGTAAAAAAAAATCCAGGTACAAGTGTTGCAGTTTGAGGAGAAATTTATTTTGAGTGAAGAAAAATTCATTGCTGCATGCAAAAAAATGTATTTCGTTGTTTGCTATTATCCATACACACACACAATAGCAGCCCCTCTCGCTCAGTTTTTGCACTTGCGCTCGCTCGCAATGTGTTGCTTGCGCTCTCAACATTTCTGCCCGTGCGCGCTCAACTACACACAGGAGGGAGACACGACTGAACCTAGTTAACATGACAAAACAGGGAGGGTGCAAAACTGAACACACTGACATCAGACACTGACTTTCAAAGTAAAACAGGAAATACACAGACTGGTCTCAGAGACAAGGTACAGACGAGGAATGACAGGGATGACTAAACACTAAACAGAGGAAGAACAGAACCCGAAACCACAAACAGAACCACAAACAGAATACATAATAATAATCATAATAATCATAAT